AACCACAACGACAACCACAACCACACCGACAACGACAACAACAACAAAGACAACAAACACAACAAAGACGACCACCACCACCACCACCACCGCCACCGCCACCGGCACCGGCACCGGCACCGGCACCGGCACCGGCACCGCCATCACCACCGCCATCACCACCGCCATCACCAGCACAACAACAACAACAGCAACAGCAACAGCAGCAACAACAGCAACAACAGCAACACCACCACCACCACCAACAACAACAACAACACCATACTGTACAACACCAACACCACCGCCACCGCCACCGCCGCCACCAGCACCACCACCACCACCGTCGCCGCCGCCGCCGCCACCAGCACCAGCACCAGCACCAGCACCAGCACCAGCACCAGCAACAACAACAACAATCACAACGACGACGATGACGATGACAACAACCACCACAACTACTCATGCCCAAATGTGCGCTACTGAAGGTGCTGTGCATACGCCGGGGTCGGCACGTCCATTTTGGCGTCTCCATGCTTCCTGCTCGGGAGGGCGGTTCGGAACAGGCTCAAATGACATTGGTCGGGTTGGCGCCTCAACAGCTCTTCGAAAACTTTGCCTTCGCCGATTTCAGACTTCAGCCCTCTCCTGACAGCTCGGAAATATGTGCTCATGATACAGCAAACAGCAATCCAGGAGGTCAAGGGTCCAAAGTGTTGGCATGCGCACTACTTGCTTGCACGGGCCCAGTCCTGCCTCAGCACATGTTCCCCCCAGGCAACCATCTTAAGCCGAATCCCTTTGCTTCGAAGCTGCTATGCTTTGTTGGACTTGGGGTATTCAATTAATTATGGGCTTTGTGATGGCGTTTGCGCAGGCATGGCACCCCCGCAGCATACAATGTTCACTTTGGCCAAGTTGGGTTGGAGAGGACCGGAATGGTGAACAAAACCAAAGCAGAGTACACCTCACAACCATATACCCCCCCTCTGACCTTGCTATACTTTGCTCTGCTTGCGGCTTGGACATTGTCCGTACTCAATCCATGTGTAAAACACATTTCAACGTGTTCTCCCCGTCTAATTTCTGTCCTCAAACACTAATTCAAGTCGCTCTGCAACTTAATGAAACTTAATGTGTGTATATGCACGTCTCACCAGTGTCCTCATCTTCCCGGAATGCTTGGGGTGAACGCGTTTTTTTGTTTCATGTGTTTTTCTTCGTCTCTCGCTCTGTCTCTCTTCTTCTTCTAAAGGCTATGCAGTACCCGAGGGTACTGCGGAGGCGAACCTCCAGCCCAGCTGTCCGCTGTCACGGTCTGAGA